AACACCAGACGTAGCATCTCTGTTAGGGTCAAACATCTGCCTTAGAGTGAGATTGCCCAGTCCTTCATCAAGGACCCCCTTTTCCCATTTTTCCCTATCAAGAGAAAAAGAACACTGAAACCATTGAGATGGATGAACAGCTTTCTTTTTGGTAGGATTATGTTCAGGTAAATAGTTCAACTTCCAAAATTCTCTACAGATGGTTGAAATCAGATTTCCCCATCTTCCTCCCTGGTAGGGGTGCCAGTCTGTCCCTCAACAGAAAGAGTATTAAAAGCACTTTTCCTCTTTCTCACAGGGAGGCATCACATGGAGGAAGGGAATGCTCCCCTGTGCCTACAAGATAGCAATAAAACACGAGAGCTCACAGAAAATTCCCCTTACTGCATTCTACAGTCAGGAACCAGCTTCCACGGGCTGTCCATTCCTACCTTCAAATATACTACTTTTAAGATGAGAACACAAATGGAAATAATCAACACCTGAAGTATTCTCATACACATTCTCATTACTTCTGTCAGCTCCCCATTAGCTGCCACCTACCTATTTGCTTGCAAGTTAAGACCAAACTCTACCTGTAGCAGTGCCAGAAATGAAAAATCAAGAGGTCCACCAGGACTACAGAAGCCAAAACAGTGAGATTTAAACAGAGAAAGAGAACAAAAAAAAACCCCAAACCATGAAACAGGAAAAGCAATGGAGCTGATAGAAGAAAAAATGCAGAAGATGCCACTTGAAACATAGAAAGGGGCAGAGGGGTAGGGAGAAGGCGTGAAAAGTATGGGAAAGAGAAACACCGAACTGGAACAGGTTCCAAATGTGGGCAGCGATGCCCCGCTCCACCTTTTCAAAGCCACCACAGTCTGCATCCCTGCTCCAGAGACAGGAAGACTTAGAGCCTCTTCCCAGCTGGCAGCTCGACCTTGGGGCACTCTCCTCTTACACAACCCAGACCCGGGCAGTCACTGGCAGAGAAACAAAACACCCGCAAAGTTACAGCCCATTCCCGTAATGCGGCTGTCACGGATCTGCCCCATTAATACCGCGCAGCCCTGTGTGCAAATTTATGCTCTGAGAAAGGACGGCAGGTTGCTGCAGCTCACGCTGTTAGAACCTCTCCTTTTGCAACAGCTCTGGTACTCATTTTAACTGAGACTATTACGGCATAAATGAGAGGAAAGGACCACTGAACTACGTGGCAAGGTGCCAGGTTGTGCTGCAGCCTCCAGCAGTTATGCTCAAAGAGATTTAAAGTCCAGCATAACCTTGATTTTTAATAGAGTCACATTTAATGAGCTTTAACGTCCACAGTAATAATTTCCTTATTACCTATCCGGGAGTCAGAATCATGATCAGAAAAAACATGCTGCACTCCAGCCCAATGAAGGAATTTAATAATGACCAACACCTTATTATCAAAACCATCAACATCATTGTCCTTAATGCCTTTTTTTGGTGGGTATAATTATAATTCTTTGAACCTTAAGCGTAATTGTTGCAGATCACATAAGCTTGCTGAACACAGCAAACCTGACTGGCTAGAGGCCACCTAAATCCCTCACCTCTGCCAATAAGCCATTCAGGTTATATGACAAAAGAAGACACTAAAATCTTATACTTACCTCTATCTGTCAAAAGGCAAAAAGCAAACTTACATACAACCTTTGTTGTCTTCCCAGCTTTTATCCACACTTTTCCTACTTTGTCCTCCACCTCCCTTCATCCCATTCAATTCTGACATGAGCGACCTCCCACTTCAAACATTCAGAACTGAATTTTGAATTTGCCTCTTGCTTGTGTCACAAGAGGGATAAATAGACATATGGGTATTGCAGCTGGCAGAAAGAGGTGCAAGAAAAATTCCAATTCTTGTTACTCTGGTACAGAAACAGCTCCACAAACCTCACTGAAACCTGCTCCCTTATTACACACAATAAACCTCCCTCCCCAAGGCAGCCAATTGCACGGTGACAAAGAGAGCAGAGGAAATTTCTGCCACATGCTCCCCATTTCACACCTTGAAAATATACAAAATGGAAGGCGTACGGCAGCTGCTCCTGTGGGCAGAGCTGTTGACATCCCAAGAAAACAGCAAAAGATGGATCTTCTATTTCTTATCCAGAGGGAGACAGTGTGAATTTTCTGGCCACACGAATTCATTAAACCACTCCTGGAACAGCTGTTGCATTCATAGAATCATAGAACATGGAATCACAGAACATAGAATTACAAAATGTTCGGAGTTGGAAGGGACCTCCAGAGATCATCCAGTCCAACCTCCCCGCCAGAGCAGGAATCCCCAGGGCAGCCACGCAGGAACGTGTCCAGGTGAGTTTTGAAAGTCTCCAGGGAAGGAGACTCCCCAAGCTCTCTGGGCAGCCTGGGCCAGGGCTCCGGCACCCGCACAGGAAAGAAGTTTCTCCTCAGGTTGAGGTGGAACTTCCTATGTTCTAACTTAAACCCATTATTTCTTGTTCTACTGCTGGGCACCACTGAGAATTCACATCGAGAAAACACACTGAGAAAAATTCACACCGCGGATGCTGAATTAAGCAGGACAGACTCAGTGCAAAAGTGGATGTAGCTTGCACAGTGCACTTCACAAGTTGCCCCTTAACTCCCCAGGAGCTCTGCCCTGCCCCAGAAAAAAAATCCCAAATCTGGCATTCATCTGGGTAATTCAAAGCCAGCTCAGACATGCCTGCTAACGTTGCAGTCAATATTGTCCTCAGCATCTCTCATACATCTGAATATCCACAGTCTCCATCCTCTGACCATACTGCTCAATTCTCCTGCAGCAGAAAGGAGGGTTTAGGACTATTTATGGCAATGTTCCCCACACGTGACAGTGATACACACAAGTACATAAAATACAAGAAAAAAACTCAAGATTTTTCCACGTAACCTCACTCACTATGCACATGTCCTGGTCTCAAAGACAGTCATCCACAGGGCTCCTCCATCCTTCCCTCACAGCTCTTTTTCCCATTTTGTTTACATGAACCACTTCCACATGCACTTACAGCCACTCTGAGAATGCAAAGGACCCTCCTGCAACTGTGATAAATGACACTGAACTATTTCCTACCCTGCTAGGCTCTGCAACTGTCGCTCTCTCCCACTTGAGTTGGTGACCAGAAGTCAGAATGATGTAGCATGGGACTGGGTCAAAAAAAACAAAACAAAAATAGCATCACATATATGAGAGGCTGGAAACACCCTAAAATCAAGTGAGCTGTTTCCTTTCCTGTTGCAATCAAAGGCAGAAGAGAAAACAGCTTTAAAAATGCATCTCTTATGAGCTGAAGACAAACCTGGTAACATCCCAGCACAGAAGCACTTCACAAACAGCTAAAAACAACAGCGTGAAAGGCAGAGGAATCATAATTATGAATAACAAATCACAGGAGGCATACGTGAGAAATGCATTCTCCCAGAAGAAATGTTCTAATTACTGCAGATGATACCCCAGAGGTTCAATCATCAGTGGCAGAGACACAGAGTTCACCTCACCCCTGCACCTCCCCTGCCCCTGCCTGCCCCTCTCTCCCCGGGCTCAGGGCTCCGCAGCCTCACATGTGCTCCGGGGCACAACCACGAACAAGGGCACTGGGCAGCAGCTTCCACCGTCATTTAAAAAGCAGTGCATTTCAAATTCAAATTGCAATGCAAGAACTATCCCTACGTACCGCTCGAGCCTCATCGGGATCTTAGACTGGGAGCTCCTCCGGGCAAAGGCAGCCTTCCTGAAATGTTCAGGAAGTGTTTAATGCTTCTGCATTTGTTAGAGCATCCACCAACAACAGTGACAAGCTGTCACTGAACCCCCAACATCCAGGCAGCTCCTCACTTCACCACCACCAATCATCTACACTTCTCACCACCACATTTTTAAGGCTATGCAGTACCACCGTACACTATGAGATGCCGGAACAAACGTGTTCTTAGCTGTAATAAAGAACTGTTGTTTGAGCAATAGGAAAAGAAGCAAGCTACTTTGGTGTCATAACCGTGAAAGGTATTTTCTTCTGTGTATTTTCTCTAAACCAGAGCTCTGCCATTTTGCCTGTGTGAAGTCTCCAGCACACGTGGCCTTTGAGGAAAGCTCTGCTCTCTCAGCCTCATCCCAGGGAGGATCCTGACCCCCAGACACTGACCACGGAGGTGCTGATGCAACACAACAGGTTAGCCCCACACAGACCTTCCTCTCCCTCTTATTTTTCTCTTCTCCCACACAAATTTTTTGAGGGCAAGGTAAACATAAGAGAGTTACAGCAGTAAGATCTCTTGGGCTCTGCAGTGTGATTCAACTCTGCTTGGTCCCCTTGCAGCGTTGTAGGTGATGGGTCACATTTTACTGATATCCTTACCTTGATTTACAGAGTCTGAGAGTATTTCTGGAGGTGTTGACTTTGGAGTTACTGTACTAGAAAGTCTCATTCAGGTACGTGAAGGGAAGACAGACTGTACTGGAGGAGAGCCACAGGTTCTGTGAAATGTATTTAGCTTGGTGAAAGATGTACTCTATTTTCATGGAGTATTGAATGTAGCTGTGATTAATGGGGCACATATACACTGATAAACAATATTAATTTGTTTTAAGCCAGGTCTGAAAAGATTTCAACTACTTGCTCCCCTGTAGCTATGAAAGTTATTTCCTGCTGTCTGTACTAGCTCAAGGGCTAAACTAGCTCTGAAAGGAAGGAAATATTTCCTTTTACTCCATCGGCAGCACCAGTCTGTGAAGGCTGTCGTATTGGTATTTTATTTATCATGAGCAAATGGTATTGATTATTATAATTTATCCTTACCACCTACCCTCTATACCAAACTGCCACCACACACTCACTCTCTCCTGCACCAATCCAGCATTTTTCATTTTCCTTATAACCATCCCATCAAGCAAACTGTCTACAATTTCTCCATCTGCTTCTGCAGCCAGTTCCTTCGGCGGTATGGATGAATAAATGCATCTTCATGGCCAGAAGCCAGCAGCCTACCTGCAACTTCTTGTGGTGACTGAAAACTCCCAACTCCTTCCAGATTCCCAGGGATGGAGCCGCCTGCTTCGAGCACCCTCACCATCTCCCTCAGCCTTTCACACTCCTCCTGAAGCTGCTGCTGCTCCTCTTTGCGCTGCTGCTTGGCCAAGCTCGCTGGGTTCATGCTGAAATGCAGAACTTTGGTCCTGCTGGGGTCGTAGTCACCCTGCGTGGTAGAAACAACAAAAGCAGATAAAGGAACTGATCCAACCTCCGAGTCCACCCAACCTGTAACCACTCTTTGTAAGAACATGAAAAAATGTTACAGCAGGAAAAGGGACATTTATGCAGTGATAATGTTTTATTCAAACATTTGCCTGAAGCCAGGCAAATCCAGTATTCTCTTTCAAAAAAACCCACCCAAAACAAACGCACAAAAAACCCGTCACTCAGCAGAGGTTGCTCCCTGGCTGACACCTCCACAGTTATATTTAACTCCAGAAATGAAGTTTTATAGCTGTATTTTAAATCTCTTCACAGCAGGAGATTATAATGACCACACAGATACACCCTTACACTACAGCAGGACACCCAGTTCTAGCCTAATTTCTTACTCATATGAGCCAGCAACCTCCATATGACTCCACTGGTGGGGTCATTAGCAAGTTGTACCAGCTTGTCCCAAGCAAGTGAACAGATACTTCATTTTATACTTTTTTTTTTCTCAGAGGTGAATTGTATTTATAGCAGTTTAAATAGTCAATCAAGCCCTAAGATAGCAAATTAATATTCTTCCAAAGTGAGAGGAAAACACTGATGTTACATTTATGATTTCAGAGAGACAATTTTCATATAAACTACAGGAAGCCTCACGACCGTAAAAGTAGTAAAGCATGTGCTAATACTGGCTTCCCCGGCACTCTGCCCAGCTGAAACCCTATAGCAGCACCGCATAAAAAGGCATTTTATATGGTAATATTTTTCCTTCAATTAAATCTCAGGACCTGAAGTGATTTTGTAAACATTAATTAACCCTCAAGAGCAGCATGAGGTAGGTATTATCCCAATTTCATCATTTCATTTTCATTAAGATTTGCTAGAATTTTATGTGAGGTTTTTTTGCATGCAAACCAGAGCAGAGACTGAGTAACTTCATCCCGAATTGCTGGTTGTTTCTGGTAAGAGACCCCAGAAGATCCCATTCCCAAACATCTTTTATTGAAAATACTCCATCCACATACCGTAAAGGACCTCTGCCCACAGCGGGGAGTGAGCTGCTGAAACTCAGCTGCCCCAGAGCCTGGCAGCAGAGGCAGCACTGGTTCAAAAACGGGTTTGACAAATTCATGGACAACATCTCCATAACCGGATCCTGCCAGGGGAGGGCAGAGGCACATCCTCCAGCATCTCCAGCTGCTGGGAGAGTGCTGCAGAGCGTGGCCAAGCTTGTGGGCTCTCCCAAAAGAGCCTCTTCCAACACTGTGGCCAGAGATGTCTTCTGGGCTGGATGGACCATGAGTAAGGGCCAACTGGACACTGTTTACATTCACATGTGCCACCTGATACATCTCACAGCTGTTCCAGTACCCTCTTGCAGAAACCGTACTGAAAATCCTCCTTTAAAACCTCACTTTCTAGACACAAGCTGGGCAGAATGCAGAACGCACCCGCAGAGACGCAGGTGCCCCTGAGCAGCATCGGGTCCAGCAGCGCAGCCAGCACTGCGCAGGTACCGTGGGGCTGGCGGCGCCCCGGCGGTCCCCAAGGCGGGCTGCCCCTCTGCCAGCTGGCTTCCAGGGCCACGCCAGGCAGATGGGTCCCACCACGGAGGAGAAGCAGCCAAAGCTGAGGCTGGCAGGGCACCGGCAGATATGCAGGCAAAGAGGAAAGCACAATTTAGAGTTGGGAGAAGACATGGAGTGACCTCCAAAAGCACTTTTGGTCAAGAGCTTGGAGTCCATGTACTGGTGAACACAAGGTTAATGCCTTCTTGACTCTACCACTACAAATATACTTTAAAACTGCACAACTAAAAACCTTGAATTACAGTGCGACTGGCATGGAAAACATCGATGTACATGGAAGTCAACAGCTGCTCTCACTGCGATGTTTTCTAGACCAAAAATTAAGGGGCTGTGGTTGGTCCTCCTACCTGTACTCTGAGCAACCAATGCTCTTCATGAGAAACCAGTTTAACCCTTTAACCTGGGGGCTTCATGACCCCAACTCAGCAGACATGACAGGCCAGGACCAAGAGAAGACATAATCGCACTGATAAGCCTTAGGAAAGAAATGAAGGAGTCGTGCAGCACCTCAGCAGAAATATTGAACGGAGGGAGTATAAAGACATCTGTAACACCAGTTCATTAGATATATTCTCCCCAGCAATACACTGGCATTTACAAACCTGTTTGTGCACCCCGCTACCTAAATTCTTGTGCCATTTGTGTCTCAGGACTCTTTCAGACAGTTCAGGGCACTCTCCTGTTTGCCTCTAAGTTTGCAATGGGGTTTACACTGGCTGGCAGATGGATGCTTTTAAAATCAGAGCTGCAGAGCCCCTTTCTACCTCCTGACAAGCCGCAAAGGGTGGCTCAGGCCCCGTCTCCCCATCCGGCTCTCCTATGGGCAGAGATCAGGTCTCCTTGCCCCGGATGCCATCACCATGCAGAGATCGCCGGCGCTTTCACACTGCATCACTGCTGCAGGCGCTCACTCAACGGTACGAGAGAGCAGAAGGATCTCAGCGTGGAGGAAAGCCACCCGAACTCAGAGACTGCTGCTCCCTGCCTGCTGGGACTGCCTGAATCCGCGCTGCGCTAGTCTTTGATTTTGCACGTTATTTACTCTTTTATAAAAAACGCCTCTCTGCAAAGCTCTGCCATGCAGCTGCAGTGCTTTGGCTCTTATAACTCTTTCTGCCCATTTATCCTCTCCTTTTATAACATGCCCCCTTGAAAAATCATGGTCTAAAACTCAACACCAAGACTCAGCCTTATTTTCAGGGGTCACCACTCCTGAGCACATCAGTCTGGAGCTACACCGAGACAGGCAAATCTCATAAAAACTCACTGTGATACAAAGGCTGTGGCAGAATCCATCTCATTTAACATTTCTGGGAGATCACTAACATATTTGCTATGCTACTCACAGTTCTGGGCTAGGGGCAGTAGCTTTCTCTTTATTCTACACAGCACACATCAAACCAGTACATTCCTCCCTACAGCTAAAATATTAGTGCTGCTGGTTTATATTATAGTAATGCCTAAAAGAAACCAAGTGAGACAGAGATCCCAGCGTGCTAGGTCCTGTAGAAACCCCACAAGAAACCACCACCTGAAGCCCCCCCCAAAAGATAACAAAGCCTGAACACGGTGTTTGCAAGGGGAGCAGAGATATGAAAAGATGCAGGCTTCAGTTTGAGACTCTTTAGCAGCACCGTAACAGAGATGAAAAGAAAACATGTCTTCAGAGATGACCCTTCTCACCACTGGACCGTACGGTCGCCTTACACAGTCATGCCAAGCAGAGCGCTACTTAAGTCCCTGGGAAACTTTCTGACATCCTATGGATTTTCAAATAAACACAGGAAGTTTTCCACAGAAACGGTGCAAGCCAGAGACAATTTGTGATGCGTGCATCTGTAACATCTGACAGCCAAACCAGTATCGCAATTTCAGTCATTTGGAGTGTTGTTTCCAAATTTCTGAAGGTTGGGAGTGACTTTGGCTGGCTCTAGGAAGAGTCATGGCTGGAAACTGCTAAATATAACAGAGAGCAAAGCAGCATTAAAATCTCACTAGCATCTGAAGGCAATGAAACTCTAATGCTAGTAAGAAACCAGGGACTGAAGAAAGCAAACATCCTCCTCCTAGAATCCCTTTAGCTCTGGAAAATGTAAATGGCTCCTTTTCTCTGTCAACTGCTCTTCCTCCCCCAATAAATTACTCTTGCTGATCAGAATTTTGTCCTTTCAGGTCTGCAACAGGAGCCTGAGAAATGGTGTGTCGGGTGCTGGGAGCGGCAGCCTAAAACAGATTTGCCCATTTAGAAAATAATTTCTAATCTAGAACCGCTGATGAGGAAGACCAAACATCGGCATTTGAATGCCAATTTGAATTGGCAATTTGAATGCCAGACACTGGCATCTGAAAGGCATGGCACAGAAGAGCTGGCCATGCTCTTTGAACAGGAGCAACTACTCAGGAGCAGCTCCAGATGCTGCTTCTGTGCTGAACCAACACATGCAGGGAGGTATTGCTTAACGGACCGCAAAAGCATCTTGCAACAAACGGTAATGTATCCCTGGTTTCTCCGAAAGCTTGAAAAGTGTGCTTCAAGTTTGGAAACTTAGCCTGAATGTGAGAATTTACCAAATCCACTTAAGCTCATGCTGCCTCTATACAGAAAGAGGAGATGATCGGAGGATGCAATCAATACATGACCTATAGAGAGTCCCTTTGTTGGAAAGCCACCCTGTCCCTGGCTCGCTCAACAGATAATTGAGTACATCGTTCTGCCCATCAGCACATCGTGGCCAGTGTCTCAGAGAGCGAAGATGACACATTACTGCCAGTTTCTCAGCAGCACCCCCTCCGCACCCCTATTTTTCTCAATACTTTAAAAACTGGAAATTGCAGAGAAGCTGAAGAGTAAAGAACTTGAACTAGAGAGAACTGCTGGCGTTCATTGATTCTTCTTTCAAGGAATAACATTGAGTCAGTAATTCAGATTTGTCAGAAAAACATACACAGAGCTTCAATTTAGGAGGAAGCAATAAATACCGTGATTGATTGCAACCAAGTCTGGTTGACACTTATTAGTACAGTGAATTACTCATTCCTGGAAAGCAAGTCGCTAGCTAGCTGATTTGGTGCTTCAGGCAGCAAACCCATTTTTGTGCTCTCAGAAGGGCACCGGACATTTTACAGAGATGATTTGTTAACTCCACATGTTAATACGTTGTACAGTTTGTGAAATAATGTTGTTTTGATGCATTATCCTCAGCCTTCCAGACACATGCTCCAGGGTATGCATAAGGGAAGCTCTCTCACAGACCACTAAGAAGAACCATCCCACCACTTCTGTGCCGATCCCACAGTCACTGTGCCAGCCTGCCACCGCAGATGTAAAACACAAATATTGTCTTAATGCAGTATGTTCTAAGCACACTACGGGACATGGCAGAACTCCTTAGTAAGACTCTGGCTATCTATAAACCTTCTG